GCCAAAGCTGGGACCTGGCAGGAGGGGGGACAGGGCCTCTAGTGGTCAGTCTTCCCACCCTCTCGAGTCCTTCCTGGGGAGGTCTATGCTCCGTTGGGCACAGAGGCCCACTCGAGAGGAAGGGCTGGGGTGGGACAAGCAGAGGGCCTGGAGCAGCAAGAGAGGCAGGTCTCAACTGTACGGCTCAGAACTGGGGGGCTTGTATGACATCCCACTTGGGAATATGCCCAGGGCCCCTCTCAGCCTCTGCTGTTCCCAGGCGGTGGAGTCAGGGAGGCCGGGACGCAGACCCCAGCTCTGCCCCAGTTCTGGCTGAGACAGTGAGGGAATGCCTCCGGGTCACACAGCTGCTAAGCAATCCGCTGGGACAACCAGCTCTGCCGGACCTAGGCAGTCACTTCCCTGTCGGGTCCGTTTCCTCCGCTCTAATCAGGCACAGAAACCACCCTCACCTTCCAGAGGGATGCAGGCCCGCCCCGAACCACAGGGATTTTCCATACAGTTTGCCCCCCCTCTAACCTCCCCAGCCACGGTTCTTTGTTCCAGGGCCAACTCTGCCCCTGGCCTGGCCAGCAGGACCCAGTCGCACCCAGGGATGAACTGTGGCCCGCAATCTCCAGTTCATTCCTGTCTCCTTGACCAAGGATTCCATTCCACAGAACAAGTGTGTGCAGAGCACCTACTGTGGGTCAGGCCTTGGGACCACAGGTGGAATGGGACCCCGCCCCACCCAGGGAAATGAGGACCACAAGAGACAGGGAGGCAAAGGGGAGCAGGAGGGCTTCCCACAGGAGGGGACATCGGGCCTGGGCCTGCAGGATGGGTAGCCGTCAACTGAGCACAGGGCAGGGCAGACATTTCACATGGAGGCAAGGGCCCCAGCAAGAGCCCAGGGAAGTCCGGGCATGGAGACGATTAGCCCTTCATCATGGCTGAACCCCCAGGAGTGGATGGGTGTGGTGGGAGACAGGCAGTTAATTTAGTGGCAACAGGGAGCCATGGAGGGGCTTAGGGCTGGGGAGAGGGGTGGGTTGAACGGTGAGGAAGGCAGAGAAGGTGCCGTCATTTTCACGTGGACGAGGGGCAAGGAGGCTATGAGCAAGGTTCCTAGAAGTCACAGGGGCTATTGTGGCCCAAGAAGGCGGGGGGCAGAGATGGTGCCAGAGTTGAGCCTGTCTGCCAGGCAGGATCATGAGCGGAGGCTGAATGGGTGTGAGTGTCCCCCCAGTCCCATCCGTGCCTCTCTAAAGAGAAAGGCTCAGGGTGCCAGCCCTGGCTGTGGCTGAAAACAAAAACTCAGCCAGGAGAGCCCAGAACTTGCCGGCTGGGAGAAGGCTTCCCTCTTCCAAAGTTGTCCTCATTCAGCCACTCAGCCCACATCCTAGTGGCCCCCTGGGTGGTGCGTCACCCGTGATGATGGCACAGATGATGGCCAGAGGGTCTGGGCGACTGCACAGCAGGTCCAGGGGCCAGCGTGACGATCCCCCAGAGGAAAATGGCCTGTGAGCTAAGGCCACGGAAAAAGCCATCAGTGCAGGGCAGAGCCTGAGAACGGGGGACGAGTCACCGGGATGCCTCATGATCAATGGCCAGCTGCTGGCAACAGCGACAGCCACGCTGAGCTCATTTTGAAAGCAGAACTCCTTTTCGCCCTGATGTTTTAACTCTGATTTGAGGACAAACAGCGGAAGAGAGACGGAAAGAGAGCAGTGTCTGTGAGAAGGCACATGCCCTGGGGGGGGGGGGGGGCGGGGGGGGGGTGGGAC